ATGTTTATTAGCAATTGGCTAATATTAGACATCATTTAGTCGCCCAGAGTGAAGATTTAGTCGCATATGCGAGTGATTTACTCGCAATGTAGAGGGTTGTTACATCGGTTACTCTATTACACTAATGTTAATATACCAACTCTTATATTTCCAGTTTAATTTCAAAGTCTTAAAGGTATGAAATTAATAAGTGAAAATTAGTCCTAGATAGGCAAAAAACTGAGCATTAAAACAAAGGACGCAACAATCTAGGGCAGGCAATTACACCAGACTCCTCTAAGGAATTAAATCATTTCACATTTGTAGCTACTGTGCATTTTCCTTCTTTACACATTATTTGATTATTCTCACTCTGCTTAGTTACCTTTGAATAATATGTATGGCTGAAGTGCTTCTTTCCAAAATGGCCTCTCTAAAGCAAACAAAATTATGGCAAAATAGCAGTGATAACCATATCTATTAAAGGAAAGGAGATAAAAGAGCTCCTTTGTGTCCATATTTGTGAACCTTGATAAGTTTTCCTTTCGGTCTCGCACAAGAAAATACAAGCCATCCATATCTACAGTTAGAGGTCAAAGTTTTAGTCTAAGGTTTTGTTTTCTCTCTTGGCACAAAAGACCTTGCTTGAGTGGTTGAATGAAAGAAACTGCAAACAAATCTCAAGAAAGATATTCATATTTCATATGATTTTGAAAAATTATAATGCCTCATTGACTTTGAGCCCAGTCAAACAAGAAGAACCAGGTCTTATTGAGTTAGTCTTGATCAATGTCAATGTACTGGCCTTTATGTTTTCTTTCAAATCTACTCTTTCCAGGCTCCAGGTTGGGCCTTCTTTCTCAGCTCCTTAGGTCTCTTCATCTACCAATCACTGGATGCCATTGATGGGAAGCAGGCCAGACGGACCAATAGCAGCTCAGCTCTTGGTGAGCTCTTTGACCATGGCTGTGACGCCGTTTCTACAGGTATAACCAGCTAGACAACCTTTTGCCATTTGGTTGGGAGTAATATTTAATAGTGTTTTTGTTAAGCATAATTAATGTTAACACGTACAGTTAGTGATCGTAATAAACGTCTTTTGTTATGGCCTAGTAAACAACCACCTAGCAACACCCCACCATTCAAAATCTGTTAAAAAAAATCTAGTTTTTATATATTTACAATAATCATATTTAAGTTTTTTTTATTGGACACTGGCTAATATTTTTATTGATTAGCAGTTAAGCCGTTTGTTGTTTATTAACATCTGTACATATAGTATGTATTAACAACACACTAATTGGATTGCTCTCTTAGTGTTTGTTGCCGTGGGAACGTGTATATCCTGTGGGATCGGCGCTTACCCAAACTGGACGTTTTTTTGTGGCTTCGTGGGCATGTTCATGTTTTTCTGTGCGCACTGGCAGACATACGTGTCTGGGACACTCCGCTTCGGATTGTGAGTGCATTTACGGCTTATTCGATTGAATTTACTGAACCTGTCTGTGTGATGTTTTTTAACTGTATTGTATTTTCGAATGTTTTCTGCAGGGTTGACGTGACAGAAGTCCAGATTGCTATTATAATCATGTATTTGATGACAGCATTTGGAGGAGTGAGTCTTTGGGAGACTAGGGTACGTCATTCACCTTCTTTAGCATCACACTAAGCCTCTGAAGTTTCTTTCTCGTTCACAACGTTTATAAATTCACTCCCATTATAATCACTGAAGCAGTCTACACTGGAAGAGTCCATTGTGGCCAATCACAAAGTGCTTTCAAATGATGGACACGGTGTCTGTTTTTGACTTGATGCAGAGATATGATTTTAATTACAAGTATCATATTGTGTGAACTGACTATTTTATTTGATATATATTTAAATAACTTATGACTGTTATATTAAAGTCAGCTTGTGATGTTGCTGGACTACTAATTAAAAATCACTCAATTAAAAATGTTTGCTTTAAACCATGTGCACGCTAGGGCTGTCAATACAATCATCAATACATATTGTAATTCTTTTTCCTCATGATTTCACATCTTTTTATTAAACAAATACGATCAGAATATTATTGACTTGCATAATAATTATGCATGCAGTATATATATTAATAGAATAAGAATAATAAAATAATATTAATATAGCATATATTAAAGTAAATATAAATATCATCTTATATTAGTAGTTTTTATTTGTTTATTCGTAATGATAATAATGATACATTTCAGTGAAGATATCACATATTATTATTATTTTATATGTTTATTTACAATACTAACATATTAATATTAATAATAATAATAATACACTTGGGTAAATATTTCACATCTTTTTATTAATAGTTACTCAAAATAAAAACATAATATTAAATATAATAATAATAACTAATATTAATATATAAGTAAATATAAATATAATCTTTTATTAGTATTTTTTATTTACATGTTCGTTCATAATAATGATAATACATTTAAGTGAAGATATCACTTTTATTAATATTTTTGTTTATTTACATGTTTATACACAATACTATCATAATAACAATAATAACAACAACAACAATAATAATAATAATACATTTGAGTAAATATAACATATATTTTTATTAATAGTTTTGGGGGTTTTGCATGTTTATTCACAATAAAAACATTCTAATGTTAAATAGAATATAAATATAATAACCTCAGTTGCGGTGTGACATGCAATCGGGCGCTTCCAGTGTATACACAGTGTCAGAAAATTATTTTAAAAGGGTTCTACAGACTTTGTATATTTTTATTAAAAAAAGAAAGCTTTCAAATCCTCCAAAACTGTGAATCATGTCAGAGCCCCATTTGTGTGTTCTTTAAGAAGACCTTCTGTCTTTTGCTCTCTGCCTCCTCTCTGAGGACAAACAGACTGTGAAAAGGTAAATATAGGTAAAAACTGCTACTATGGCTACCAGTCACCCATAGACGTGTCAAAAAAAAAGGCAGATGTCAACACGCACATGAATCTTTTCTAACCTCTCCTCATTTTATAAAGCATGCTCAGAGCTTCAGCCCTGCCCCTTCCCAGCTCCCCTGCTCACATGAGACACAAAATAACAGCTACTCTCATATTAAAGACACTGATTTCTCATTCACCCAGGTCCCTGTTTTTGGTGTGGATTTGCAAACCTTTCCAATCCTCGGCATTATTGGTGGCTTTCTGTATTCAACCTATAACTACTTCTACGTCATCCTGAACGGTGGCGTGGGCAAGAACGGCTCAACCGTTGCAGTAAGTGCTTTCCAGCAGTGAGGTCTTCAAAGTAGTTGTTTTTGTTCCTCAAAAGCATTGAGTCCTATTGCAGTCACGTTTTTGGCACACTTCTGCTTATGATAGCTCAGTTACCAGATTTAATGTAAGGCAAAGTAAAAAAAAAAGTGACCTCTTTAGGGTGATAGAGTAACAGTGCACATGTCTTCCTCAGGACACCAGTGTATTGTCTCCTGGTCTACACATCGGCCTCATCCTCTCTCTGGCCTTCATCATCTTTAAAAAGTCCTCCAGTCAGGTTTTCGAGCACCATCCTTGCCTTTACGTCCTTACATTTGGCATGGTGATCGCCAAGATCTCGAATAAGCTGGTGGTGAGTGCTACTGATGCTTATATAAGAAGTCAAAATTGTTATTTGGCCCTTGCAATCATGAGCTTCATCATTTACATAAACGGTTATCCAAAATGCATCAGGTGTGCTTTCTTCTACAGGTGGCCCACATGACCAAGAGTGAGCTTCATCTTCCTGACACAGCCTTCATTGGCCCTGGACTCCTCTTTTTGAATCAGTATTTCAACAGCTACATTGATGAACACATCGTGCTTTGGATCGCCATGGTGAGCCACAACCATTAGTGGGTCGAACCACTGCGTTTTCAAATGCACCATATAGCAATATGTTTTCGGAGTCAAAACTAAACAAGTCTGTCTCTTCTCCAACCCCATGTTTAGGTGCTGTCCCTGGTGGATCTGCTGCGTTACTGCACAGGCCTGTGCCTGCAAATCGCCTCCCACCTGCGAATCCGGGTTTTCAGTATCACCCCACAGGGCCACACACATAGAGACTGACAATTTGCCCGGCGGGAGGAGGAAGCGGGATCTAAGGATGAAGACATTGTCCCGCTTCTCAAACTAGAGCAGGAGAGCCCCACCAACCAAAACCGCAACGGCCTTGACAGTGTGACCATCACAGACTAACAGAACTGAATGTTTTGCCAGGTTTGACCAGACCAGCTCGTATTGTTTTCTAACCACACTACTGTACACTAGAATATATCACTGGATGAAAAGAAAGAGTTTAGACAATGTACAAAATGTGGCCTTGGGGGCCAGAGGGCGGCCCTTGCCTTGAAATGGTTCATTCTGTGCAGGAACATTAGAAATACTTGTTATTATTTTTTCAAAGGATAAAGAAGGAAAATTGCTGGGAAATCAAACGTTGAATTTGAATCGGCCAAAAACGTTTGCATAGAATCATTTCCTCAATTTGGTCAAAGATAGAGATGAGCAAAAGAATCAAAAAATAACGGAGGGAACATGTTTGTTTCACAACAGTATTTATCACAGTAGATATGTACTTTGTTTTTTCGGGCTTGATCATGTTTGTCAATTTTTAACAAAAAAGGGAAGCTACAACTGCAGTTTGGGCATCCAAGTCCATTTTCTACATCGTAATATCTATTATTTAATTTAGGCCCATTTTTATATGTCTGATCTTGATACATACAACAAAAGCAAGTATTACAAACATATTTCTCGGCCTGATATAGTCGCCAAACTGCCAAAAATAGTTTACACCACAGAACCTTTTATACCGTTCAGAATTTTTAATGTTGATAAAAAAAGCAGCTATTTGTAGATCATGTGACACTTTATAGAAGTGAATAAGCTCCAGAAAAGAAAACTGCCCAAACAGCCATTGTAGCTTTATGTAAACCTTTTGTGATTGTCCAGTGATTACAGTGTATTTATTTTAATAATCTGACTCAATTTAGTGTGAAATTAAGTCAAGCCTGTTTAAAACAAAAATAATAATTGAAAGAACTTAATTGTCAAGGATTGTGGCTGTGTGCTAAAAACAGACTCATCTTTCCACCCCCTCCCTAGTCACCCAATCCCAGTTTGCTCAGACTTCCTGGTTGTATGTTTCACTTCCTAGAGCTTCAACTGAGCACAAACAGAGTTATTGGTCATTGCCTTTAGCTCTGTTTTGAGGGATTTTGGGGGGTGTTGATCTGTGCCTGTTTTATGATGCACTCTCTGCCTGCTTAGAATCATCTCCTCCCAAAGGGCTAATAAAAACAATAAATTTTGTGTGATTTGAATAGAGCACCATCTAACGTCCATTTCTTATGTGTTTTGTGGTCTTCTTTTCATACTATTTTAGCTAAATTTCCTCCTTCTGGAAGCAAGAATCAATGACACATAACAGCAAACAGGAACAGCTACATTTGCTTGACCAATAAATATTAACCCAGTCAATGACATTTCAGAACAAGGCATATCAATGCAGTCATGAAAGATTTTTAATTAACATATTTGGCTGTTTCATTACACTTCGGCATTCAGATTATGTTCTTATTTCATTATCAAATTAGGCACCTGGTTGAATTTACAATTGACACAAAAGTGGTAAATTGTCAGTGTAATGTAAAGACCTAAAAGAAGTGTATTTTGACAGAATTTTAGCAACATACATTTCCAAAATAAAACAAAGATATGCTTGTACATTACAATTATGTATTTTCTAACATAATAAATAAAAGTAAACAGGGAAATTCATCCCAGAACAGCATTATGCAAAGGTTTGGAGTCAGTAGTTGCAACGTTTGAGCAAGCCCAAAAACGATTCCCTTTAAAAGACAAGTGAAGGTGAGGAGTTAATTAATACACACCAGGGCCACAGGCGGTGGCATCTGAATTTCAGACAAAGTTAGTATTTAATGTCCCACTAAGAGACAATCACGTGAAGGACTTCAAGCAAAAACGACATGCAGTTAAAAAGAGAAAGAGAAGGAAATGGCTCATTTTTATGATCCTTGCCCAAATTTACAAGTATCAGGATTGCTATTCGGTTTTAAATATGCTCCTGGAGATTTTGTGCCACTTTGGAATAAGCAAGAGTGGCAGATTAAGACAAATGCAAAAAGCCAAACGCAAGGCCAAGAGTTCCAGCCGCGCATTAGAATCCACTACTTTCATTCATGTGGAAAAGAAAGGCACTGCAAGGACAACAACAACCCTTACCCTTGACATTCCCTTATAAATTAAAATTAAAATTAATACAATTTAAACATGTAAGGTAATATGGCAACACACTCAATTTGGGCCATTGAGTTCAGTTCACATTCAATACGCAACCTGGAGTGTGATCGCAGGCTGAGAGAAAGTCACTTGCCTCGAGCGCCGCAGTGTGTCTCACTAATGCCCCTTTGTGGAGGAGGCCTGCACTTCGAAGTTTCTTCATCAACTTCACCCAGTCACCTCCAAATGGGCAATTTTATCTGACGGCATTAACAGAAGTACAGCTGTGGTACTTCATATTCACACAACACAACAACCTCTAAGAGAGGAATAACCTCACACCCGCTCGGGGGTCGCATCCTTGTTGACCCTGCGTCTGAGGAAAAGCCACCGTTTCAATATGATCAGCTGAGGGACAGAAAGAAAAGGAAGAGGAAGGAGTGTCAACCAAACCTGTTATGAATGCTGCTGGGCAACTTGTGACAGACACGTGATACACATACAGTATAAAAAACAAGATCAACATTTGACCAAAACAGGGAAGGAAGAAGAAAGAAAGACTAAAGGTCCTTGCACACCGAGTTTGAAAATTTCGTATGCGTTTTTCCGTGTTCGTCATCCTTTCCTATCAAAATGCTTGATACGGATGCGAAAACGCAGAAAATCGAACCTGGTCCGAATTTTTTTAAGACGGACGAAAGTTTCGGAGGCAGTGTGTAAACATGATTGAACGTGAGGGAGGTCGTATTTATTTTTCAACGTGCGAAAATTTCGAACTAAAAATTCAGACTCAGTGTGCAGAGACCTTAATTCTGGAATTAAACAGTATCCAGTTTAGATTCAGAGAGTAACTATGTGATTCTAATTAATCTTTATAAATTCACTACATTTTTTTTGTCAAAGTTTGACAAAGAAACATGCATCAGTCAACTGATTTTTTCCCCACCCCTTATGGAGAAGTGCTATTTAAAAATAAATCAACTATTATTTTATTCATTTAAAAAATATATCCATATTTACAAAAGGTTAATAGTTTAAACAATTAAACATGTATTTTAATTAATTAATAAGAATGTAGCTAAAATGTTTGAAAATACAGTTAACTGTGAATAGAAAAAAATTGTGAATAGAAATTCAAACTGACATATAAATAGACATTAATATCCATTTAAATAATGTTTAAAATGATAGTTAAATGCAACGATACAATAGCACATTAATAAATCATTGACCAAATCATTTATAAATTGGATTAAAGTTGAAGTGGCTGGTGAACTTAAAACTTTTATTTTTCTTAGCCCAATTTAAAAATGATGGAAAATCAATGTGTAAAATGTTCATAAAAATGATATATAAATGTTGCTTTTTTTCCTCAATTTATGTATCATTACATTTAACTGTATTTAAACATTAATTAGATAGTTTTGAATATGTCTATTTATTTTTTTTAATTCAATCAGATTGATTAGTGATAATAAATATATAATTATATAATGAATATAAACCATTTATAATATATAACAAAAATATTTTTTAATTAATACATTAATGATTGGTTTCATTGCATTTTAAGTGGCAATTCAGAACCCCTAACTAATAATAATACATTAAAAAAAAGAGAAAAATGAGTGCTGCATACAAGCAGGAATTCCATAAAGAGAAACAGGATGTGGCTAAACGAGTTAATGAGGAGGCTGTAAATCTGTTCTGAAGATTGTAATTAAGCCAGTTAATGTGCTAGTCTGTCAGAGATGAGGACGCAGCCAAACATGACATGCCTCTACATGCATGTACGGCAGCAGAGGAAGCACCCGCTGATAATGTTTCATCTCCATATTTGTACTTCTGGTGAGTGTTCACATTACTGTTCTGTCACTAAGGACAGATTAAGACACACTGGTCTTTTAAAAGGTCACCGTGACCATTAACCTCTCCAAAAGACAGAAACCTGACCCCGCAATTAATAGTGTGACTATTTGCTGCAAGCTGCCTGGTTGATCAATCATCAGGATGATATTTTTGCCTTTACCATTTCCTTAAAAGAACACCGAGGGTTGCTGGGTAAAAGTTGATATATTAATTGCTAAAGGTAATGAGACTAGCCAGACTCCACTGGACTCTGTGTTTGTGTTTGTGTGAGACAAAGAGAAATGAAGAACCAGAGATAGTGGACAATGAACATGTAAGCTGAACCGAACTGACCTGCTCAGCAAAGAACGATATGACAGTGAAGACGACTAACGTCACCAGCACACAGTGGGTCCAGAACTTCAGCTTGTCCCTGTATATTCGCCTGTGAAACAGAAGATTAACTCTGGTTAGCCTGTTACATGGTAGATGCTAGAACTACACAATCTGGATCTAACAAGCATCATTATACATTGATAACACTGTAGCTAAAATATGTATTTCATCAGAGTACACAACAATTTTTGAATGGTTGTCATTTTGTTTTCCTGCTGTTCCGAAGTGAACAGAAAAGTTTTGAATAGATCTCCAGGTATAGAATTTATTGCTGTGAAACTCCAAAAGTGAAGGAAATTGCAAAGCCTTTTAGAAATACAAGAGTCAATGTATAATATATAATATAATGTATACTAAAATATACACTACTGTCAAATGTTTGGGGGCAAAGGCTTTATTTTTAAGTCTTTTATGCTCACCAAGGCTGCGTTTATTGGTTAAAAATGACAGTAAAACCATTAATATTGTGAGAAAAATTTTAAGAAACATTTCTTATTATTATCATCAATGTTGAAAACAGTTGTGTCACTTAATATTTTTTTGTAAAACTACTGTTAGTTGCTTAAACTTTTTTTTTAAAGAAATCTTTTGTAATCTTTTTATGATCAATTTTATGCAGCACTGCTAAAATTATAAAATAATCTTAAATATTAAATAAGAAATATATTTTAGAGATATTCAAAATCAAAACAAACACTATTTCAGAAAATTTTAACTAATGACAAAGTCAACTATTAAATAAAAAGTAGCACCTTTAATAGTGTACAGACCTCAATCATTGTTCAAAAATATAATTTTCTTATAATAATGATAATAATATATTAATATATAATAATATTTTTTCCAAGGTAAATTTATTTTATTTAAATTCTAAAATCTATTTTCTATTCTAAAATCTATTTTGAAGGTAAAACTTTTGTAAATAAATTTTAATTCATAAATATCACTATCAAATGATCTGATTTCATATTAAATTATCTAGTACTTAAATACTGACCCTGACAGGCAGCTCTGCAGTGATGCATTATATGACTTAAGTTATTAAATATTACTAAATTTTGTTAAAAAGGAAAATATAAATAAATAAATAGATGAATAGATCATTAAAAACATGCCCGTATTGTAACGGTGAGCTCATTCACTGCTGTCAGCATACAAGGGCAGGAATGGTGATGCTGTCTGAACTCTTGCCAGATTCAAAACCATATATATCAAGACTGTGACTGACAGTTCACAGTGACTCAAGTTCTGATGTCACACAGCAGGCTGTCGGAGGTGAGAGGGTGACAAGGTGACATCATCATCTGTGAGGAACACAGTCCGTTACCCTTTTGTCACCGGCGTGTTTGTGTCTGACTGAGCCAATCTGCAGATACACAGCTTTTAAAACCAGCCTATGGGGCTGCTCGAGCCTGGCAGTGCCCAAAAATAACACCCTGGCCCTCAGGTCACACGCCTCTGATGGGGCTTTACGGGGCATCTGGGTGTAACATAGAGCCGCTCTGGCTGGTTGAGCATGAATGGCAAATGCACTTGTCATAATTTCCAGCCTGTAACCCTCCAAAGGAGCGACATATACATAAACC